TCCTGTCTATTACTCTTCTCTCCAACTCCATACTCATAGTTCGGGTCATAATAATCTGCCTTAGGCTATACAGCCAAATGTCACTATGAGCATAATACCTAAGAAACGCAGACCTTCCACCAAGACCTGCCTCACCGCTCGACTCTCGTGGCCTATGAGTATTCCTAGTGAAGAGAAAGCAGCAGCGTGCTCATAGACAAAGGACAGGGTGCCAAACCGCGTTGTTCAAGCTATTCAGGAAACTGAGGCAGGAGGATTGCCTGAACCCAGGAGTTTGAGGCCAGCCTGTGCAACATAGTGAGATCTCTTAAAAAAAAAAAAAAAAACAAATTAAAAAGCAGGCCTAAAAAAAAAGCAGGCCTCTCACACCCAGAAGCAACCAAACTAGCACTGGAAAACACACAGACAAGTAGAGGATAATATATTACCTGCCATACCTGCTTTCTCACTTACGTGTGATTTTCCACATTTGAGCAAGGAACTCTGGTTGGTTTTGGTAGTGTTTTTATGGTAACAAAAGTAACAAATAGATTTTCTGTCTTCTTCATTTTTCTAGCATAGTACCTGCATAGGTCAGATCTTAAGTGTCTCCCAAAGGTCCATGTCTTAAAGGTTTGGTCCCCAACTTGGGCCTATTGGAAAATGGTGGAATCATTAAGCAGTAAGACCTAGTGGAAAGTCTTCGGCTCACTGAGGATGTGCCCTTGAAGTGGGTAGCATGATCTCAGCCCTTCCTGTCTTACTTTCTCTTTTGTGTCCTGGCCATGAAATGAATGGTTTTGCTCTTTCAGGTGCTTATACCATGATGTGCTACCTTGTCACAGACCCAAAGCAATAAAGACAATCCGTCATGTACTAAAACATACAAAATTTTAAGCCAGAGTAAACTTTTTCTTTTTATAAGTTGATTTATCTCAGGTATTTGTTATGACAGAAAGCTGACTAACACAGTATCACACCCCAGTGCTCTCGAAACTGTGGGCCAACAACGCTAGGCCAGCCTGAATCAAGTAGCTCACCGAAGTTACCAAGGCCTCCAACCCCTAAGAGAGTTCCAAGAAGTGAGGAAATTGACTTCCTTCTGGATTTTAAGCTAACTTCTGAATTGGTGCCCTGAGTCTGCCCTGGTGATGCCAAGTTAGAACACTAACTTCTACAGTCCTGGAAAAGTTTTTTATAACATTGTGATTGTTTCTAGTTTCCCATAATTTATAGAATGAGATCAGTTGTCTGAAGATATTCTGGGCCTAGGGTGTAGGTTGATGGTATAGCACATGGTCAGCATGCCCAAGCCCCTGGGTTTAATCCCCAGTAATAATAATAATTATAATAATGACTGAGATCTTCTCACAGCCTATGCTTATCCCCTATGTGATAGTGCTTGTCATTACATTTTACTGAGATCAAGCACAATTATTAAGTTATAAAGGGACTATGTCAGGCTCATACTTCTCCTATGGTTGAGTATCACTGTTGTAATAGCATGACTTTTCAGTTGCAAGTGACTAAAAACTATATTAAGCCAAATAAAGGAGTAGTCTCATTTCAAGAACCATAAGTAAAGCTGCTCAAACAGTGTTAACAAGACTCAGACTCATTCTCAATCTCCTTCCCTCTGATGTTTCCTCAGATGATAGAAAAATTAGGCCCGGCAGCTCCAGTCTTACGTTCTGCCCAGTTAGCAATTCCATCCACCACAACACAAGTTTCTCCACATGGTTGCAGAAATATTCTGAAAGTGGAATCTCATTAGCCTAGCTTGCATTATATAATCACCTCTGAACAAATTACTGAGTCTAATTTGAAGGAACATCCTAATTATCCAGGCCTAAGTCATATGGTCACCCCTACAAACAGAGTAAGAGGGTCATCCACAGAGACTAAAAATTAGGAAAGGGCAATTGTTCAAACAAAGTCTAGACAGACAAAAAACATGTTCAGCGGGAGGCTGAGGCAGGAGGATCATTGCAAGTTCATGGCCAGCCTGGGCCTTGAAAAAAAAAATGTTCAGAACACTTGAAGAGCCTTTGATTGTGTACCTCCAAGATTTTGGAGAGAGAGGAGAGGGAGAGAGAGCCCTATGCATATAAATGAATAAATAAATAAGGATGTGTAAATGATTAAATAAACATTTCCAGATAAACTCAAATGACCAGTCACTTTTTCCATCAACTTCTGGACAGTAACATGCATCCTTGAACTCCCTATCCTTTTAGAATGATGGACCTGTACAACATAGGTCCACCCTGCTTAGATCCTCTGCAGCTGCAGGATTTTATATTACTACTCTGTAATTCAGTACAGGAAACAACTGACTCCATAGGAAGTGGCTGAGCTGTCCTGTATGTGGAACCCAATATGCTGCACTATTTTGGACCATCTTGAGAACCAAGAAATGCATACAAACTCAGATCTTACCTGGATTTTTTTTCCCACTATTCAGAAGAGAAATCTACCTGGGCTTGGTGGTACATGCCTGAAATTTGAGCCCTGTGGGAGGCTAAGACAGGAGGCCTGCAAGTTTGAGCCCAGCCTAGGAAAGTTAGTGATTTAGCAAGACCCTGTCTCAAAATAAAAAGTTTGTTTTTGTTTTTATTTTTGGTTTTTTTTGGTCCTAGGAATCAAACTCATGACCTTGCGCTTTGCAGGCAAGTGCTGTGCCTCTGAGCTATATCCCCGGCCTTGTAAGAAGTTTTTTAAAAGGGGTAGGTGTGTAGCTCAGTACAAAGATCCTAGGTTCAATTCCTGGTACCACAATAAATAAATAAATAAATAAATAAATAAATAAATAAATAAGTAAGTCAGTCAGTCAGTCAGTCAGTCAGTCAGTCAGTCAGTCTATGGGATATAGAGCCCAGTTAACCAGGAAGTCTTTAAGGTGGTTTGTTTTGTTTTGTTTTGTTTTTTTCCAGTACCGGGAATCAAACTCATGACCTCACGCTTGCCAGGAAGGTGCTGTGCTGCTGAGCTAAATCCCCAGCCTCTTTAAGGTGATTTTAAAAATCATCATCTCATGACAATATAGAAGTCCTGCATCAGTTTCTAAAGAGTATGGATTTCCAAACTATAGCCTATACTGCTTACCCTACACCTATGACGCTGTGTCACATTTTATTTGTGGAGAGAGACAAAAGTTCCTGGTATGGTTTGTCCATGGTAGCTTTTCTTTTTTCTTTTCTTTTGTCTTTTTGAGAGAGTCTTGCTATGAAGTTCAGGCTGACCTTGAGCTCACTTTGTAGCCCAGGCTGGTCTCAAACTTGTAAAGATCATCCTGCCTCAGCCTCCCAAGTGCTAGGATTACAGGCAGGCGCCACCACACCCAGCTTTTTCCTTTTAAACTTTTAAGAATCTCCCCATTTATAGTCTTAAGTTAAGGAACTCAGAATGGAACCAAGAGAGAATGAGAATTTGGGCTTTTTCTTGCCTTGATTTTCCTATGGTTTTCACACCTGGGTGAAGATGGAACATCCAGGTGCTTGCCCCTGCATGTTGTAGGTAAATACTTTACAATATAAACTTAATCCCCGGTGATATATCTACCTCTTCTGAACACTAGAGTCCATATAACCACAAATTTCTTTTTACTTCTTTTGTATCTCCTTTTTCTTCTTTACAAGTCCTGTGGGAAACTCAAGACTCACAGCCAGTACCAAAACCACATTTGATATATCCTGTTATCGTGACGGGAGATGGCATGGGTGCTTGATCCTTGTACTTTACCACCAGCCACCTCTGAGGAGTTGATATTATGCCCCATTTCCTAGCACTTTCCTCCAGAAGGCAATGGGCCCTTTGCCTTGTGGGGTCTTCTTTCACAGGGTGAAGACAGTTTAAATCCAGTCCCTTCTCTTTCTCTGATACTCTTCAACTTTAGGAATGCTGTAGCTGGCTGGGCATGGTGGCGCACACCTGTAATCCCAGCACTCGTGAGGCTGAGGCAGGAGGATCATTGTGAGTTCGAGGCCAGCCTGGGCTACAAAGTGAGCTCAAGGCCAGCCTGAACTGCATAATGAGACCCTGTCTCAAAAAGACAAAAAAAAAAGGAATGCTGTAGCTGGGTGGCTGGGTTTTCCTTTTGCCAGACCTCCTTTTTGTTTGTTTTTTTGAGGCAGGATCTCACCACCATAGAGACCAGGCTGGCCTCGAACTCACAGCAGTCCTTGCTGGGAACCTCCATTCTCCTTTCTGCAGTCTTCTACTGTTTAGAGGTTCAGAAGTGTCCTTTCTTCCTGTAGAACCTACAGGACCACCATTACAGCTTCTATTTGTCCCATTAGGTCCCAGGCATAGAAGTCATTAGCCATTGGAGTCCTTGCTGGGTATCTACAATATCTCAGTTTGACTGAGTTCCCTGTCTCTGTCTCTATCTCTATCTCTGTCTTGTGTGTGTGTGTGTGTGTGTGTGTGTGTGTGTGTGT